TTTCAAGGGCACAGGAAGAAACTAAGAGTCAGTCACCCCAGTGGAAGTTTAAAGGAACTCCTTTCATAGGTCCAGGGTCTTAGAGAAGGTGGGGGTTCTTCCCAGGTTAAAAGTCCCTTTCTTCCACACTCCTTTGGATTCCATGTTTGGATCCATTCCCACATAGTGGGAGCTCTCTTTCCCCTCCTGGATTTACCCTCTGGGGTCCCGCTTCCACACACACACTCTCTCTCGTGAAAGCTGTCTCTCTTCTTCTCCTGTTTTTCTCTCTATTCCCTTCCACTCAGTGTGGAAGCTGCTCTCCTCTCCTGGATTCCATCTTTCTGGATTCTCTCACTCAGTGTGTGAGGAGCTTTCCTTCTCTAGTTTTCCCCCTCTGGGAACCCTTCTCACTCAGTGTGAGAGTGGCTTTTCTTTCTCTCACTCAGCATGAGAGTTAGCTGCTTCTCTCTCCTCCTTTTTCTCTGTCTGCTTTAAATAAATCACTTTCTACAAACACTTTTGAGTCTGGCATTTACTTTTATAAGCACACTGCACTGTGGTCTCCTCTCTCATTCTTGAGAGGGCAATAGACCAAGAACCTGGAGAAACGTCCTCTCAGGAGAACTGAGGGCACCCCTGAACCCCAATATAACATTTCTTCTTAGATATTGTTTCTGGCAGCTCCTCCAAATAGGACAGATATTCTTTGCTGTGTGTTGACACTGTACCTTGTGTGGATCTTAAGCATAGTACCTGTTATGCTTATTAGGGTTATTTGCATGTTGTCCTCCTCCAACGCTAAGCTTGTTTATTTTTTAATAAATCGGCCCCATGAATCAACTTCAGGAAACTATGAGTTATGCCTCCCATCTTCGGTCAAGGGTAGATGTTAAACATTTGTTTACTGTGTAGATTATCTGGTTAACAATCATTTACATCTGTATTGAAGAAACCACCTCTGTAGTTACTTTATTTGCTGCCAGGGGGGAATTTTTTTTTTTTTTTTAAGTTTTGTTGCTACAGCTAGTATGCTCTCCTATTTCAGGCTTCCAAAGGTCATTCTTTTCCTAGTGGAACAATAACTATTTTTCCTGGTAACTAAGTTACTAGAAGAGCCAATAAGAAATGTAATCAAGGTGGTTCTTAGACCATAGTGTGGGAATTGTATTCTATTTCTTGTCTAGGAGTCAGGAAGCCATGAAAGAGCGTTGACTTAATGCCTGAAGACCAGCTGTTAACACTGCAGATTAACGCTTTATTGAGGTGGGTTGAGAGAGAAGAAAGGCATTTGATTTGTAGCTGTCATGTGGCATCCAGAGGAAAGCACTCTCCCCGACTAAAAACCTATACAGTTCAACCACAAATAAGGCATTTGGGCAATATAACAGAATAAATTTAATAACACTGAATCTTCAGGTTACTCTTTGAAGGTACATTTTGCAGGAAAAATGGCACATACATATTTTATTTTTATATAGATTTATTAGAAAATAAATTAAAAAATATGTAGTCTTAAATCCAAAGCAATACTAAAGGGATAGTCATTATTTTTCCAGCATTAATTTAAAAAATGTTTTCCCATAAAACATGCTTACAGTTTTCCCGTAAAACATGTTTACAGGAGAAAACCTATTGCACAGAAAATGATACAATTCAAGTGGATGATCGTGCTCAGTGGCTAATGAATTACGCAATAGTGTTTGTGTCAGTGCCTTGGTTTCCTGTTGCTGAAGGCAGGCATAAGGTCTTTCCAAACCCTTGCAGGCAGCCAACTCCAAGAGGATAGATAGTTCAAGTACGGTCTGTGGCTCCTATTTCCAAATTCCATTAGCAAAATGTTAAAATATTATATGTAGGGACTTAGTTTTTGAAGGTAAGGGAATACAACATTATCTGTGAAAACATACTGTGGCTGTTTAATAGCAAAAAAAATAGTAATATTTTTCCACAGGCTTTTAAAATTGTTACCATATGTTGCATTTCATTTGATCCATACAACTTGGGCCATAGTTAGGATTATCTCAGTTTAGTAGTAAAAGACGAGGGTCTGGAGAGAATTTTGCCCATTCATTGGCAGAGCTGATATTCAAAGCAAGGTTCTTTGTTTCTCATTCGAGGACCCATCTCGTTGGCTCACACAGCAAGAGTGTGTTGGGCATATGGTTTTCATTTTGTTAGGCCATCAGAAGGAGACGTATCTTTAGGAAGGCTAGATTAGGTGCTCACTTTTCAGAAGAGGAAAACTTTTCTTTAGCACTTTGTTATATTTCAGAGATGTTGGTGAAGCAGGAGAGACTTCAAAGTAGGAAAATTTGGTTATCAAAAGTTTTGGCTTTTGGTGAGAATATATCTGTCAGAAGTAGGGCTGGTGAGAGCTATGAAGGAAACTAGTAACCGTGAGTTAATAAGAAGGGGGGTGGATACCGGAATCTAGTTATTACTCTTAATGCAAAGTTCTGTTTGCTTAATAAAAAAATTTAGAGAAAAACGTTAGATGTATCTGTGGATTTTTAGTCAATGTATAATTATTTGCTATTTATAATGTTGCATATCTTCTATTTTGCTTTGACAATGTTCACAGGGATTATTACCAAATCTACATATTTAAATATATGGTCACAAGCATGAATTGAAACAGGTCTCAGCCTGAAGATATAAAGTGACTAAACCTTTCTTTTTTCTTCTCTCTGTCCTTTCTTCTTTGCCTTTTTTTCTTGAAGAAAATATTTTATGGACTTGTTAAATGGTATTATCCAGGCAATTCATCATTTTTCCTTGGCATTTTATACATCCTAAAATTTCACTCATGGTTCTCATGGCTCAAACAGATGCCCTCCAGCCTTTACTCTGGAGTTTTGCTTTTTTCCCCTCCCTCAATTCAATTTAATTCTCAAATTAACCTCTTTCTTTTTTGGTTAAAAATAAAACAAACAAAGTAGATGCTTTGTTTATTTTGATTACATTTAAAATGATTGTCAAAGTCATCTAAACTGCAGTTATTCTAATATAGCACATGAAGAATATTAAAAGTATATGAAACATCATTATAAGGACAGTATTGGTCTTTCTGTTTTCTGAACTCCAGTGTAGTTTATCTTCCGTTTTTTAATGGTTTTTATGAGTATGTTTTGTTCCTGTTAGAGTCCAAATTCCTGGCATCTATCCAGCATGAGTCCATCCCCACAGCATCTCCCTAGTACTATTAATTTCTCGATGAATGTTTTTGATGAATGAATGATGCTATTTACTTCAGATGGCATTTTCCAAAGCACATACAAATCTGTAATTGCGCTATTTTCTGTTGTAGTCATATACACAGACATTCTAAATGAACTTTGGCCCTTGGAATCAGTGAGAAAATTCATTAACTTAAGGTTGTTCATTATTATTTCCTCTGTCAGAACATATACTAGCACTCGCCAAATAAATTAGTTGTGGTAGGAGAAATTTTGCCTGATTCTATCTTTTTGGCTTTCCATTCCAAATTATCAGTGCAGCTAAACGCTTGGGTTTTGGAGCATATTCTCACTGTCCTTTGCCTATTTTATAAGCTGCTGTTTATTGAAATCCCATCTGTGTTGAAGCCCTGTTCTGCCAAATTTTCTAGCATACTCAGAGTATGCCACATGCCATTATTGCCCACTGAATTGTTGAGTAACATATTCTGACTTGAGGCCAGTGGTTTTCAAACCTTGGTGAGCATCAGACACTTCTGGGAGCTTATTAAGAGTACAAATGCTGCATGCCTTCCCCTGAATATGATGAATCTGTAGCTTCAGGAGGGGTCCTGTGTATCTGTGGTTATAACACTTTCTGGTGGGCCTGGAACCACATTTTGAGAAACACTACCATTAAGTAAAAAGTTTATTTTGAATGGAATTCTGTGATGATTCCTTAAAAGTTGCAAGACATTCTAAATGTGTTTAAAAACTGTGACATAGGTATGTTTATGAATGTTTGACATTGCAGAATCAGCAATAATTTATGTGGCCTTGCAGATGTAAGTTTATATAGTACTTTCGTTGCTGCAGCTTTATTGGCTTAAGTGTGTGTTAATCTGCCATTTAATATGTTCTTTATCAAAACCTCCATTTATCAGGAAAAAGAACAAATGGGGTGAGAACAAACAAAACTCAAATTGCAGTGTTTGTTTTCTACTGTTAATTTCTACAGACAAAATATTTATTTTTACTTAATCCCACATTTTATGTGTTCTTTTTTTTTTAGACAAGAGTCTCGCTCTGTTGCACAGGCTGGAGTGCAGTGGTGCAATCTTGGCTCACTGCAACTCCACTTCCCAGGCTCAAGTGATCCTCCCACCTCAGCCTTCTGAGTAGCTGGGACTAGAGGCCCACACCACCACACCCACCTGGCTAATATTTGTATTTTTTTGTAGAGTTGGGTTTTGCTATGTTTCTCAGTCTGGTCTTGAACTCCTGAGCTCAAGTGATTCACCAGCCTTGGCCTCCCAGAGTGCTAGGATTACAGGTGTGGACCACTATGCCTGGCCTTATGTGCCCTTTTATTGGAGAAAAAAAAAAGTCAGTATATTTAGAATATGCAATCTAATATGCCTTTAGTAATGGTCAGTATATGATGGTGCTAATATTGATCTTGAGGCCAAAGAGAGTACTGGGTTTTTTAATCATCAAAAAGAGTTTAAGGATTAATTTCAGTATCAAATTTTTTTTAATGCTGATTCTCTGAAAATCAAAAATAATTGATAATACACAGAAAGTAAGTGCAAAATTTTATCAATTTCAGCCTGATGAATGAATAATATAGTTCAGTGAGGTCGTTATGACAATGTACATGGATTTCTATATAACATAATGTCCTCCCCCTTCTTTTTTTTTAACTTTGAAAATGCTTCTTTTATTAAGATGGGCCTATCTGTTTTTGGATAATGGATACATTGAAAGGTTGAGAATTAAGAAAATTACTGTGGAAATTGGTTTATAAATGTATAGGTGATCAGAATTCCTTAATGCCTTAATCTATGTTTCTTACTTTTTTAGGGACTTTCTCCCCCGAGGGTCGGGCATTGTAACAAGACGACCTCTTGTGCTGCAGCTTGTTACTTCTAAAGCAGGTAATGAATTAAGATGTTTATCACATGGATGAGCACATCCTGTGGCACCTGTTGCCTTCATAGGTGCTGGGTTGTACCAATAGAAATGTTTTCATGATCACCCCACTGTGGGAAGCTGCCCACATTTCTCTTCAGAAGGCTGCCTTCTTCATTGCTCTTTTAAATTCTTTGATTACATTAAAGGGGATATTTTCATATATATAATTTATATTTTATTGCACTTTAGGTTCTGGGGTCCATGTGCAAAATATGCAGGATTGTTGCATAAGTACATACATGGCAGTGTGGTTTGCTGCCTCCATCCCCGTGTCACCTATTTCTGGCATTTCTCCCCCTGTTATCCCTCCCTAATCTCTATACCCCTCTGCTGTTCCTGCCCTATTCCCCAGCAACAGACCCCAGTGTGTGATGCTCCCCTCCCTGTGTCCATCAGTTCTCATTGTTCAACACCCACCTATGAGTCAGAAAATGCAGTGTTTGTTTTTCTGTTCTTGTGTCAGTTTGCTGAGAATGATGGTTTCCAGGTTCATCCATGTCCCTACAAAGGACACGAACTCATTGTTTTTTATGGCTGCGTAGTATTCTGTGGTGTATATGTGCTACATTTTCCTTGTCCAGTCTATCATCAATGGGCATTTGGGTTGGTTCCAGGTCTTTGCTATTGTAAACAGTGCTACAATGAACATATGTGTACATATGTCTTTATAATAGAACGATTTATAATGCTTTGGATATATACCCAGTAATAGGATTGCTGGGTCAAATGGAATTTCTGTTTCTAGGTCCTTGAGGAATTGCCACACTGTCTTCCACAATGATTGAACTAATTTACACTCCCACCAACAGTGTAAAAGTGTTCCTATTTCTCCACATCCTCTCCAGCATCTGTTGTCTCCTGATTTTTTAATGATCGCCATTCTAACTGGCATGAGGTGGTATGTCAATGTGGTTTTGACTTACATTTCTCTAATGACCGGTGATGATGAGCATTTTTTCATGTGTTTGTTGGCCTCATATATGTCTTCTTTTAAAAAGTGTCCGTTCATGTCCTTCATCCACTTTTGAATGGGTTTGTTTGTTTTTTTCTTGTAAATCTGTTTTTTTTAGATTTTGGATATTAACCCTTTGTCAGATGGGTATATTGCAAAAATGTTTTCCTATTATGTTGGTTGCCAGTTCACTCTAATGATTGTTTCTTTTGCTGTGCAGAAGCTCTGGAGTTTAATTAGATCCCATTTGTCTATTTTGGCTTTTGTTGCCAATGCTTTTGGTGTTTTAATCATGAAGTTCTTGCCTATGCCTATGTCCTGAATGGTTTTACCTAGGTTTTCTTCTAGGATTTTTATGGTATTAGGTCTTATGTTTAAGTCTTTAATTCATCTGGAGTTAATTTTAGTGTAAGGTGTCAGAAAGGAGTCCAGTTTGTACTTTCTGCACATGGCTAGCCAGTTACTCCAACACCATTTATTACACAGGGAATCCTTTCCCCATTGCTTGTTTTTGTCAGGTTTGTCAAAGATCGGTTGGTCGTAGATGTGTGGCATTGCCTCTGAGGCCTCTGTTCTGTTCCACTGCTCTATATCTCTGTTTTGGTACCAGTACCATGCTGTTTTGATTATTTTAGCCTTATTGTATAGTTTGAAGTCAGGTAGTGTGATACCTCCAGCTTTGTTCTTTTTGCTTAGAATTGTCTTGGCTATGCAGGCTCTTGTTTGGTTCCATATGAAGTTTAAGGTGTTTTTTTCCGGTTCTGTGAAGAGGGTCTTTGGTAGCTTGGTGAGGATAGTGTTGAATCTATAAACTGCTTTGGGCAGTATGGCCATTTTCACAATTTGGTTCTTCCTAACCATGAGCATGGAGTGTTTTCCCATCTGTGTCCTTTGTTATTTCCTTGAACAGTGGTTTGTAGTTCTCCTTGAAGAGGTCCTTTACATCCTTTATTAGTTGTATTCCTAGGTATTTTATTCTCCTTGTAGCAATCGTGAATGGCAGTTCATTCTAGATCCTATTTTCTTTATCCAGTCAACTGTTGGTGGGCTTAGATTGATTCTAGGGTTTTGTTATTGTGAATAGTGCTGCAGTAAACATACAAGTATAGGCCTATTTTTGATATAATAATTTCTTTTCCGTTGGGTAGGGGTTGAACTAATTTACATTCACACCAATAGTTTATAAGTGTTCCCTTTTCTTTGCAGCCCTGCCAACATCTGTTGTTTTTTGACTTTTTAATAATAGCTTTATTAGTCTGTTTTTATACTGCTCTAAAGAACTGCCCAAGACTGGGTAATTTATAAAAGAAAGGTTTAATCGACTCACAGTTCAGCATGCCTGGGAAGGCCTCAGGAAAGTCACAGTCACGGTGGAAGGCAAAGGGGAAACAATGTACCTTCTTCATAACATGGCAGGAAGGAGAAGAGCCAAACGAAGGGGGAGGAGCCCCTTATAAAACTCTCAGCTCTCATGAGAACTCACTATCGTGAGAACAGCATGGGGGAAGTTGCCCCCCATGATTCAGTTACCTCCACCTGCTCTCCCTCGACACGTGGGGATTGTGAAGATTATGGGGAGTTAATCCAGATGAGATTTGGATGGGGACAGAAAACCTAACCATATCAATAGCCATTCTGACTGGTATGAGATAATATCTCATTGTAGTTTTAATATGTATTTCTCTGATGATTAATGATGTTAAGCATTTTTTTCTTGACTGCTTTTATGTCTTCTTTGAGAAGTGTCTGTTCCTCTCCTTTGCTTACTTTTTAATGGGATTATTGTTTTTTTCTTGTTGATTTATTTAAAGTCCATGTAGATTGTGGATATTAGTCCTTTATTGAATGCATAGTTTGCAAAAATTTACACCCATCCTGTAGATTGTCTGTTTACTCTGTTGATAATTTCTTTTCAGTGTATAATGTCTTTAGTTTATTTAAGTCCCATTTGTCTATTTTTGTTTTTGTTGCATTTGCTTTTAGGGTCTTAGTGAGAAATTCTTTTCGAAGGCTGATACCTGGAGAAGCTTTTCCTAGGTTTAGGTTTTCTTCTAGAATTTTTATAGTTTGAGGTCTTACATTTAAGTCTTTAATTCATCATGAGTTAATTTTTGTATATGGTAGAGATAAGGGTCCAGTTATATTCTTCTGCATATGGTTAGGCAGTTTCCCCAGCACCATTTATTGAATAGGATATTATTTCCTCATTGTTTTTGTTGACTTTGTGGAAGATGATTGGTTGAAAGTATGTGGCTTTACTTTTGAGTTATCTGTTCTCTTACATTAATCTATTTGTCTATTTTTATACAAGTACCATGATGTTTTGGTTACTATAGACTTGTATGGTTCAGTATAGTGTAGTTTGAAGTTGGGTAATGTGATGCCTCTGGTTTTGTTCTTTTTGGTTAGGATTGCTTTGGCTGTTTGGGCTCTCTTTTGGTTCCCTATGAGTTTTAGCACTTTTTTTTTTTCTAATTCTGTAAAAGATGATGTTGGTAATTTGATAGGAATTGCATAGAATCTGTAGATTCCTTTGGGAAGTATAGTCATTTTAACCATATTGATTATTTCGATTATAAGCATGGAATGTTTTTCCATTTGTTTGTGCTTTGATCCATTTTGAGTTAATTATTTTATGCAGTAAGTGTCCAACTTCATTTTCTTCCTGTGGATATCCAGTAGTCCCAGCACAATTTGTTGAAAAGACTATTCTTTTTTCACTGTAGGATCTTGGCACCTTTGTTGAAAATCTGTTAACCACAGATATATAGGTTTATTTTTGAACTCAGTTCTATTCGACTGATGTCCTTGTGCCAATAGCATACTCTCTTAATTACCCTTGCTTTGTAGTAAGTTTCAAAATTAGAATTTTGAGTCCTGCTACTTCATTCTTTTTCAGGATTGTTTTGTCTATCCTGGGTCCCTTGAAATTCAATAGGAATTTTAGAATCAGCTTGTTTTATCCCAGGAATGTAGCATTGGTTTAACATCTGAAAATCATATCAGTGGAAAGAAAAAGATCACAGGATTACCTCAATAGATTCTGAAAAAGTATTTGACAAAATCCAACATGCACTCATGATAAAATTCTTAGTAAATAAAGGGGAACTTCCTCAACTTGATAAAGGACATATATGAAAAACACGTAGCTAACATCATACTTAATGGTGAAAGACTGGATACTCTCTGTCTAAAATCAGTAGTGATACAAGGATGTCTGCTCTTGTCACTCCCATTCAACATTGTACTGTAGGTTCTAACCAGGACAGCTGGAGAAAGAAGCAAAGAAATAAAAGGCATCTACCTTGGAAAAGAAGACGTAAAATTATCTCTATTTGAAGATGATGTGATCACATGTGTAGAAAAACTTAGAGTCCACTAAAAACTGTTAGAACTATTAAACAATGTTAGCAAGATTTGAGGATACAATATCAAGACACAAAAATCAGTTGTATTTTTTTAAGTTTTAGGTTTGGGGGTGCATGTGGTTTGTTGCTTGGATAAACTTATGTCACAGGTGTTTGTTTTACAGATTATTTCATCACCCAGGTTTTAAGCCCAGTCCTCAATGGTTATCGTTTCTGTTCCTCTCCTTCTTCCTGCTCTCCACCCTCAAGTAGACCGCAGTGTCTATTGTTTCCTTCTTTGTGTTCAAAAGTTATCATCTTTTAGCTCCCACTTACAAGTGAGAAAATGCAGCATTTGGTTTTCTGTTCCTAAGTTAGTCTGCTAAGGACAATATAGCCTCCAGCTCCCTCTGTTTTCCCACAAGACATTATCTTGTTCTTTTTAAAGGCTGTATAATATTCCATGGTGTATATGTACCACATTTTCTTTATCTAATCTGTCATTGATGGGCATTTAGGTAGATTTCATGTCTTTGCTATTATGAATAGTGCTGCAATGAGCATCCACAAATGTATATCTTTATGGTAGAATGATTTATATTCCTCTGGTTATATATCCAGTAGCACAAGTGGTGAGTTGAATAGCAGTTCTGCTTTTAGCTTT